GGTAAGTTTGAGAAACCGGCTCGAGATACACTTTTTGTTATATTCCATGGAATGCTCTTAACATCCCGATAGCAATGAATATCTGAAGTGTTTTGACAACAAATCCATAACAAAATGTCATCTGTGGAAGCCGTGGTGCTGTAAAAAGTATTACTGACAGATTGCCGCCCTGTCTGTCAGCCTTCCATCTCGTGCACGCACAAATGTATCTCGTGCCCTCATTGGGCGTGCCCTCATTGGGCGTGCATTGCAGCAGTACTTCAATGACTCGCCAGCAACAGGCGGCCACTTTCACCAGTCTGCTGACGTCATGTTCATGTGTGTTGGAGGAGGTGCTCTGTAAGGAAGTCTGAAGGAAGGGGCGGATTCTTTTCGGCTGTGTACTTTCAAATTGTAGTGCACTCGAGCCGGTTTCTGAAACTTACCTACCCCACCTTTAAAGTGATAAGTTAACAAAGGTGGAACGTTTTGCCTGCAACATTCTGTTTTGGACGTTGTTGGGGTAACACATTAACGATGTTCTTTATAAAACGTTCCCTCAATGTTACATGATAACCAAAGAAGAACATTTGGATAATGTTTTCAGGAGGTTATTCTTTTTTTATAAAATGTTCCTGTGATGCGAAATATTAACACGGTCATGGTCAACGTCAGATTTATTTGTAGTGCGCTTTAAAAAACAAACTTGCATTTGTTTGAAAAGGATGTTTAAAAGAAATCTGATGTCACCACATTTTCCTTTAAAAATGTTTTTGCGTCGGCATGTCTGAGTTCCCGGCTAGACATTGTTGGTTCTAAAAACATTATGTTACCATTCATTGTTCTAGGAATGGTTTCATCGAGAAGTTTTATTTTGGTTCCTAGAATGTTCTTCTGAAAGGTAGGAGAACGTTCTCTAAAAACATTACACCCCAAGTGTTTTTGTTGTTTATGCACATATCTCTATTCATATGGATCGAATAACACTTAGAAAACCAAAGACAGACATTTAGAAGAACGGACCGACTCTCACTGCCTGTCCCTGAAACCCCTGTTAGTGTTTGTATGTGTTTGTTTCTACTGTGTGTCTCTCTCCCCACCCCCACCCCCACCTGCCTGCTGGTCTGCTCGACACGGCTGGGAGCAATCTCCAATCAACCACACCTGCAACCTGCTCATCAGCCACACTATGAAAGCCTGCAGCCTGCACTCATTCCCTGCCGGATTGTTGCTGTGAACGGTTTGTTGCGTGCCGCTCTAGCTCCAGCAGATCTATTGACAACTTTGCCTGCTTTAGCCTCACACTCATTTGTGTGTCTCTCCCAGGAGGAATCCAGGGCCTTCCACCCTCCCAAGACCAGCCAGGCCTCTCTACCCTGGAACAACTGTTTCCCTCTACCGCCATAACCAACCTCCAATCCCAGCTCCCCTTTTCTAATAAACAAATGTTACTTTCACAGCTGATTCCGAGTCATCCTTTTACTTGTGTTAATAGTCAAATTCCAATAGTTAAGTAAACTATCAAAATCATCCTAATGACCACAGTGGTCAGTCCACTTACCCAGGAACTTTGAGTTGAACAATTACAGGAATATTATGTCTCTATGTTCTAATAATGTAAACATATTTTTAGTAAATTGTTACCACAGAACATTTGCATAATGTTTTAAACATAAAGCATGTTATCCTTCTCTAAAATAATAACATTCTGGCAACATAAACAAATCTAACTTGCAGCTGAAAACGTATTGTAACACTTGTTATATTAACACAGGCGGAGCCCTCTACTGGACTGCGCTCCCTCGTCTGCAGGAAAGCCTGTGGAGGAGTGCGCGCTGCCGTGACTCTTCTCTCTACTAAGGTCTTTGAACGCTCCGCGGCCCACCCTCAGGGGAGGGGGTCGCGCGCGACGTCACAATGCCGTCTCTTTGAAAACTGACATTATGGGGAAAAGTGGAATTGTGGAGACTGTTACTCTGGGATAAATGCAATCGTTTTTACTGAATGCATTTTTTCCCACACACACATCACTCTAATAATAATAATACATTACATTTATAAAGCGCTTTTCCTGGTGCTCAAAGCGCTCTAGAACTAGAGTTTACGAACGTAAACCACCGTTCTCCTGCGGAGGTCCCTGAACGCACCGCAGCCACTCTCACGAGGGCCGCGCGCCCACGTATTAACGCTGTATTTCCCATTCAACGGTGAAATGCATTAATCTGAGCTATTATACCAGCAGGCCGGGAATAGCGTCTCTTGAACCCGCACAGTGCTTTGACAGCACTCGGTTTATTCCACTCACGTGCACACGCCCACCTGCTAGCTCCCTATACTGGGGTTTACAGCGGGGGCGGGGAGTGTAGGACAGACTTTCTTCCTCTGGGGATGTGCAAGAAGCAGCCACGCTGCGATTACTCCTTATCCCGTGAGCAAGGAGATCGATCCATAGAGCCCTTCCGTAAACACGGGGGCTCCCAGGAGATCAACACGGTCCTCTTTGGAAAATGCCATGCGGCGTGATATCCCAGGGACATCACAAGGCGGGCAGCGGCGGCGACCTGTGATGAAGTAGGGTCGACCCTAAATCATGTGAAGCCACCGAGCACCGGTCCCCGGGCAAGGCTCGTGGACCAAGCTACTTATTCGGCCTTGCGGCCCAATAATCGCTCTGACCTGGTGAGGCGGGGGCATCTCTAGCAATGAGCGAGTAGCCCACACACCCGCCACCATGATCATCATCCAGGGAGAGTACAGCCCTGGGCGGTGGACTTCCATGGACGCCGGACTTGGAAGGAATGGCGAACGTGAATGGCACCGCCTCGGCCATATCCTGGTCCCCCAAACACTCGAAGCAAAGGTGGTGGGGATTTAAGCCAGGGCACGATTTCCAAAAATACTCGTTTCTTCCTTTCTCTCAAAAAAGACGTCTCGGACATCACCTCCGCTCGCTGAAGAGTAACGGAGCCTACACACGGCGGCGTGCGTTGCCGCTTGGCGGTGGGTGTGTCTTGAGCTTGGGGAGTCAACGCGAGCAACGCGACCAACAACCAATCACATGAATGTCCCGCCCCAGACATACAAAGCAAAGCATTCATGCTACATCCATGCTGGCTAAATATACTGTCTATGCTTGCTAGCTGTCCATTCAAACGAAGTACACTGGATATAAACTCCCCAAACAGGTGAAAACCTACCAGTTTCACCCACTGTCTCTGCCACCTCCCCCCATGCCTGGCTCCTCCGGTTTGTATCCCTGTATGTAAAGAGGGACTGGTCATATAGTACCGCCACGATAATTTTCTCCTCCATTTTTTGACATATGGGAAATAACTGCGGTCTGGCTCTCCCAACATACACGCGGTTTGATTGGCTAGCGCTTGTACTGTCAGATTTGCATACGCGGGATTTGATTGGTTGACGCCTCCGTCGAGGCGGCAAAAGTAGAACATTGCTCTACTTTTGCAGCGAGCACCGCGAGAGAAGCTACGCTTTGCTCCCACAATGCAGTTCGGCGAATCGTGACGTCACCACATTAAAAGTGAATGGGCAGAAGCGTTGAAGCGGCAACGCACGCCGCCGTGTGTAGGGGCCGTAAAGGATGATGAGCGAGAGACGAGGTCTCCTTTTATACGGAAGTGAGATGCGTGCGCATTCAGGTAGGCCCGCCCCATCTATAGAAATCTCAGTAGGTGAAAGCTTGCCTAATAAGTTAGTACCCATAGAGGATAGGATAGAGTCCAGTAGAGGGCGGAGCCTGTGAGAGATATAACATTTTAAGAACAGTAGGGCATAATGTTCTAACGATGTTATCAAAAACATTTTAAGAATGTTTTTAGAGCCAAACGTGTCTAGCTGGGATAGCATTCTATTTATTTATTTATTCATTAACGGACATGTACGTTTAAAGACATAACTGAAAAACGTTACTTTCTATGTAGTTCTTATGCTTGTCAGTTAGAAAGACTTTTGAACAGATTACGATGCAGCGTAATAGCCAGTAGCAACATGCATATGAGAGCTAACGAAAAGCTAGTAAGCTAGTTCGTTTTATCAAACCGTATGGCTAAAACTTAACTTCCACACGGTGCCTTTGGTGCTCTGCTGCTCAGAGTGAGTTTTTGCTTGGTTTTGCTCCAGTGCATCTGTCGTGGCATTTTATTCCGTTTCTACATTTAATAGCCACTTTCCTCTATCGGGGGTTATGGCGATACGGAGATCGTTTTAGGGTTGAATCACATCAGATATATTCATTGAGCCAGGCGGCATACAAACATGAAGACAAACTTCCTCGCTTTAAAGTAACTAAAAGTTCTCCGTATCAAAATAGGACAAAAGGAATACGGTCAAAAGACTATACCGCTTCCCGTCTAATCACAAACTCAGCTGTGTACCATTGTCATGCCATATATAGGAATATAGACATGCACGTCGTACCCGACTGCGCACATTTGACAGCAAATAAGTAAGACTTAAATTAACATCTTGTAAACCGTAGTGTGACTCACAAAAACAAATAGTTAAGAGTTTACTCTAAATCCTTATATTATTAAGCCAGACATTCAAACCATAATGATGAAAGGAAAATGGCTTCAACAGCATCCATAGAAGCAAGGAATCTAAAGCCAAGATAGTTTGCATGCATGAAGTAGCTCCCCGCACCGCAATCATTACAAACTCCTGGTCCTCACTTTCAAAGCCCTCCACCATCTGCCCCCCCCCCCCCACCCCCACCTCACTGACCTCCTCGACCTCCTCATCCTCTACCAACCACCCCGGTCCCTCAGATCCACCTCAGCCGGTTTGCTTTCCATCCCCAAGGCCAAACTCCGGAGCTTCGGGGACAGAGCCTTCTCTGTGGCTCTGGAACTCCCTCCCCCAAGACCTCCGTGAGTCTGAGTCCCTCACCCTGTTCCAGTCCCGCCTCAAAACCCACCTCTTCAACTCTGTATCCATAAGCCCCCAAGAAAAACGCTATAGAAATCAAATGTATTATTATGAACAAATATGTCAAAGCTTACCTCTGTGCACAGTCGCACCAGGGTTCGACAGCATTGGGTAACACCTGGGCTGGCCAAGAGCAACGCAAGCAACTGTAGACAAAAGAGAAAGTGATAGTTTGTGAGGTGGGAGTTGAAATAGATTACAGTCAGCGCTGAAAACATTGGTCTTGAGTTTGACGTGAATACTGGGACACTGTCTACTGAAAAGATCCCTGTGCATTCTTCAAAAAACTGCAATTTGACTTTAGACATTATGTTCACATTCTGTAAAATGATGTACGTTTTCTGCCTTCTTTATAGATTGAAAAGGTAGGAGGACTGCAGTCGTACAGAGGGGAGGAGATGGATGATTGAATGTCAGCGATGCTCGTTGGGTTTATCCGAGGAGACGGCTGAAAAGGCCGGCCGGAGAAATGGGTTTTTAAGACTAGAAGTCCTTAAACTCCCATCAGTCATGAGCCAACTTTCTCCTCAGAAAAAAGTACCCAGATGTTTTTTTTAGGGCTGTCAGTCGATTAAAATAGTTAATCGCACATTTTGTATCTGTTCTAAATGTACCTTAGAGGAATATTTTTCAAGTTTTTAATACTCTTATCAACATATGAGTGGACAAAAATGCTTTATGCTAATGTTTATTATCATTTGAACAATGACAAATATTCTCATGAATATTAAACACAACAACCTCTGAACATTACAAATATTCGCCTCAATTCAACCTGGAACCTCTCTCATACAATACAGTGTGTGTGTGTGTGTGTGTGTTTGTTCGTTGGAGCTATGTGCAGCTCAAGGCATATGCTCGAACGGGAGCTGCAATCATGTTGCGCACTATCCGTGCTGAGTGTGCTGACTTTTCGTACAATGTCCCACTGTCTGGCTTCCTGCATAAAGTCAAGTGCTCGGCGCAGTTGTGGCGAAATGTCGCTCCTCTGTTTTCATTTAAACAGCTCCTTATATCAGTTAGCGCAGCTAACTAGCACCAGATGCTAACAACAACAATACACGTAAGGTCTCTCTCTCGCTCGCTCGGGCCACACATACACACACCCTCCCGGTCCTCCCAATAGCCAGTCGGTGCCTGCCGGTGAGCGTGGAAGTGTGGTCTGCCACAAGCGGGCGGCAGGAGCGGGGCTGTCAGCATCAGCTTGTAGATGGTATTTTAAACTCGATGCTCTGAAACTACGGGGCGGCCGAGGAAAAAAAATACACATGCGTTAATCGCGTTAATTTTTTTTTTGCGTTATTAACGCGTTAACTTGACAGCCCTAGTTTTTTTACGTAGAAAATCCATTCTGCCACTTTACGAACAATATGCATGTCGATACTCTGGTTTGAAAATGTATGAAATCTCCAAGAAAAGGGCTTTTTGAAAGATGTTCACAGTTTTATAATGGTTTCGCAGGCAATCATACTTCATTTGGAATAACAAAGACAAGGGAGCACAAGTTGTAAAACGTTACTGCTTTACTTAGTGTGTGGAAAGGAATGACAATCTGTCTATTTCCTCAACTCAAGTGGACCTGCTCATTAGCAACATGATAGAAAGCCATGGTTACATTTCCTACATAAATGGAGAATGCTCATATTTATTTAGCTGGGAAGAGTTTTTAAGCTGATTGAAAACTTTCTGTACAAAAGAGGACCACTTTAAGCATTTGGCTTGAAAATGGTTTAGACAAACTCTCATTGGCTTTTCCTTTACTGCTCTTTTAAGATAGCACTTCAGGTTATGCTCATGTTTTTATCCAATGAATCAGACATGACATGTTGACATCAGATAACAATCCACTCTTTCTTCTTGCAAAGCCTGAGGGTAAACTGAAATCTTGACTGCTGCTGATTTGAATTAGCTTCTTCCTGTGTTCTTAGCTGGTCAAACATCCACAGGAGCTGTGCTTGTAAGTCAATAATACTTAGCCTGAGTTACAAGGAAGGGAATCAGATTGAGTTTGACTGCTGAAATGTCAACGCAGGCAGTATGACAGGTTAACAAACCTCTGTCCAATAACTGAGAGACTTGTGAGTCCATGTGACCTTTGTTTACAGGCCTGGTGTTAATGGCTGTGCTCCACAGAACCACACCGGCACACAGAGCTTTCACTTCATCAATCTAAATCCTACACGTGAAGCCACAAAAGCTGTTCGTGCCAAGCTGGATTGACGACTTGAGTGGCAAGAGACGGAAATGCCAACAGCAGATAAGCTTGTGCCTGTTACACCCCGGGAAGCATTTATTTAGAGATTTGAAAGTCACGAGGAATTTGACTTAATGTTGTGGTGCATACAAACAAGAATTAAAAACACAGGTAGAGAACTAGAAAAATTGAAAAAATATAACAGTATTTACATTGCAATGGATATATGATGAATGAATATATTTCAATATGTAGTTAGGATATTTTTAAAAATTTGAAATAATCATCCAAAAGACGTTAAAAAGACGTCTAGTTAAATATACGTACGATTTGTTTCAACCAAATTAACCGCAGTGTTGAACTTTATGTAGGAATCCTGGAATAGTTGTGTCTTAAATAATGTCTATCTGTTTCTGGTTCTCCTTAAAGGGCCCATGTCATGCTTTCCCGGTTATCACCCGTCCCCTTGTGTGTTATGAAGGTATGCATGTAAACGGTCTGCAAAGTCACAAACCCTCAATATGCCTTTTTTCTTAGAATGTGCCCTTTCCTCCAAATTTGAGTCTTTTTTTAAAAATGTAACTTTTTAGGAGCTCAAGCCGTTTAGGACAGAGAGTGAATACACATGCTCAGGGCCGCCCCTGGCCAACTTGGGGCCCCAAGCGACATTGTGAGATGAGCCCCCCACCCCACCAGACAGGAGTGAAAAAAATTGTTTTGGAAACAAAGTACTTTGCAAATATAATTCCTGTTTATTATTATTATCAACACCGTTACTTTTTTATACAGTGAGGTAAATGGTAAATGTGCATGTATGTCGTTCAGTATGCGTTTACAGGTGAATTTTGCATTTCCTGCCAAATACTAGCCTCAAAAAGATTAAAATATAATGAATGCAAATAAACTACTTCTACTAATAATAATAGTCATATAAAATTCAATAATATAAATAATATATTAGTAATATAAGACAAAACATGCTTATGACATGCTCAAAAACTGATATTTCTTAAATCTGTATTCAAATGTAGTTCCCTCTGTCAGCAATGTATCAACAACTACACACACATTTCTATCAGTATTTTACCCAATTGCAGGAAGTGAAATAAAACGCTGCTGTCTCATTGAAGCGCATCCTTTTCAGAAAGTGTAGATCAACTTGTTGTTGATAGTTCAGACCAAAACCTGAGTATCTGCTCCAAACATGTTCCGGATGTTTTTGTCAGATTACTGCCAGAATCTCCAGACATATCCATGGCACATTCTGCATCATGTTACATGGTTGCAGTTCTCCCACCTTGATTTCCGTGTTAGCATATTACCACCACAATTCTACCAAATACGAAAGAGTTAAGCCTCTCCGCCCCTCTTCCTTAAAATAAATGTTTTTAATTAGGTCCGCTTTACTTTGTGCACTTTTAAACCAAACTACACTAAATATAAAATGAACTCAAGTATCAAGTAGGGATGCCTTCGACTAAAGATTTTAAAAAATAGTCGTCAATTAAGGCGATTAGTCGTTGCACGTTTATGATTCATTATGATTATGAATATATATTTTTTTATATAATTTATTTTTTTAACTAATCGACTAATGAAAAATTGCTCGATTAAGACTTACTTAGTCGACTAATGATTAATCGACTATTTGGGGGCAGCCCTAGTATCAAGTGTATCTAACGGCCCGTCCACACACAGGCATGAAAAAAATCTTTCAAAGCTTCGCCCATTCACTTGAATGGGGTGACGTAGAATATTTTGAATCTTCGCCGAACTGCATTGTGGGGAGCGGAGCATGGCTTTGCAAGCATCGTGAGCATCCAACTTTTGATGATCCCGATGCTTTCGAAGCTGGCATCAGCCAATCAAATGGGGGATTTTATATCCAGTTTACTTCATTTTAACATTGATAGTGCTTTGTATGTCGGGGGCGGGAGATTCATGTGATTGGTTGTTGGTCGCTTTGGGCGTGTGAAATCGCCAAGCCTCAGACACGCCCAGCATCAAGATTTTTCAAGTGTTTTTCATGCCTGTGTGTGGACGGGCAAACTATAAACAAACTTAACAGTTGATTTTTTTACAGCAGTATCAGTATTCCTTCTTGTCACCCGTCTGTGTAATTTGTCCAATTAGGATTCAGTGCCTATAATCCCCAACCATCGTCACAGGTGGATGCTTCCTTCCTCTTCTCTCACAGAAACAAGATAAGAAGTTTGGGAGCTCTTCATCTCTATTTTCAAACACTCTCCTGGCTCCTAAGTGCTCCGTGAACAATCAAGATGCTCCGCTGATAGCGCCGCCCCAGCCCGGATTTATCTTGATTACCATCAAAAGCTTGTTTTCCTGATGGGAGTTGGAATTCATTTCCATGCCCCTGCAGAGCAGAGCAGCTCGGCTGGCTTCAGATGGAATACAACTTAAATCTTTAGAGACTGAGATGGAAGAAGATGGTGACAGAAAGAGAGAACCAGAGAGACTAAAACAGAGACCAGGAAGCAATTGAGATGGGTGACAGAGATTAGAGGGTGACACTAAGACGAGCGAGGAGCCACTCTTTAAATGGTGTTTCACTGATTGTTCTCATTCCCTCCATTTAGTTTTCTGACTTTCCCGGGGGAATGTGTTTTGCTGCACTTCAAACCCTTCACATAGATTCTTTAGATCTGACAGAACAGCTTTCTCTCCACCTATCCCTCTGCCATCACATCATGTGCTTCTCAATGTCTCTCTCTCATTAAGCACGTTGTTATCCTCACATCTCTTTGTTCTCATTAACTGTCACCATCTCATCCTTCACGCCATCTGTGATTTTCTCTGCCTACTTCCTCATCTCCCTCTCTTTGCTGTCTCTTGCTGTTTCTCAATTCATACTTTTGTAACTATATAAATATATAATATAAAATAATGTACATGATTGCCTCTGAATTGGATTGTTATCGGATAGGATAATAA